GGAGGGTCGCCGAGATGGTGAGTTTTCTCTTCACAGTGTCACATGTTCCCTTTGAATTCCTTCGAGGAAGCGGTGTCTAACACGTAGTGGCAGGCATTCGGATACGGACGATGGGGATGCGCGGGCAAGGTGATTGCGTTTATGGAGCTGAACAAGGTGTTTGTCGAGGTATGACTCCCGCTCCATTCTTGCCTGACTTGATTTTGTTCCTCTTCTGCCAGGGGCAGTTTGCTTCCGAGATTAAGTGCTAACTTACTTCATATAACAAAAAGCTTCTCCGTCGTTTTGACTTGCAACTGGTCTACCCCTTTGATCCGTGGAGGAGCCTCAACTTCAACCTGTTCCTTCAGCACAGCATGTGGGTAAATGTTACGATGCGCGAGACCGACTGATGCACCATCTGCTTGGATAGCAGATGTTTCTTATGTATCAAACTTGAGGGGATGATTTTAAATGACAAACTTGATTCCCGCCGGCGGTTATTGCCGTGCCAATTTTGCCTTTTGCGTCCTCGGGCTCCCTGTGATGTGCATAGAGAGCAACGGCCGAACCAGAGTACAATAACGAAGGAAACCATTCTGCAATTGAATTTACTAAAATAAAAATGAATGGAATAATGAATAACTGCGTTTGAATGTTGGCGATTGGTTTAAAACAAATCGATAGAATCAAAGAATTAAAAAAAAAAAGTTGCCCCCACGCGGGATTGAACCGCGGACCTCATCATGTCGCAAGATGATACGAGTGATGCGCTCTACCACTGAGCTATACGGGCTTGAATGTTGTCAGATGTTTATTTTATCCGATTTCTGAGTTTATAATGAATGGTCTTACTAAAGTCAACAAATGCAAAAGGGAGAGGATGGGGGTGGGGGTGGGGGTTTGCAACTATTTTGCCTCAACTACATACAACAAACAATTAAAACACATTTTAAAGGTTGTTTTCTTCGCAGAGAGATCTCAATCTCTGCATCACCGCCGCTTACGTTTTATGATTTGAAAGTCCCTATCCGTACACGACCAATGAATGTGGTTTTCGATTACAGAAAGGCTGCCGGTGGTTGTATGCTCAATTGCTCGCAATCCTAGGTAATATGACACGGACTTGACGACTAGATAGCAAGGTATTTCATCTCGACTCCGCCTCGTAGAGAATATCATAGCCACTCATCCTTTCCCCGCTCAGAAGTGCCAAGCTCAAGATTCCACTATCAGTTCACCTCGCGAGAGTATAGTGGGCAGTGTCTGAGTTCATCAGGCTGGTAGCTTTTCCCGACTGAGAAACAAATATTGGCTCGGAAGCCGGGGTCAATTCCCCGGCGGAGATATATTGAGGAGCTATATTTATTGGAATGAATTCGGATTGGCAGTCTAACCATACACTTCTTTTTTTATTGATATTATTCTTCCCCCTCGAGACCTTTGCAGCCTGCAGGTGTTGGCTGTGAAACGGGATCGAGATTCCCCCCCCCCCCTTTTTTTTTTCTCCCGCCCATTCCCCCTGCACTGGCAGGAAGTACCGTGCATATCATGCAACCCAAGACGTCCTCCAAAACAGACGCATCACGGCTGGCAAGTAATAAATATGTCCTGGGCATGCACGGTAACGCCATTTCAGCTGAGGAAGATAATAGCCTGATGTTCAACTGACGTCTGTGTACCGATTATCTTGAATCACTCCTCCAACGCCCCTTACCTAACTTCAAACCTACCTCCTCAATTCCCCCCCCCCAACCCCAACTCCCCCCCTCCCCCCCCTCTCTCCCCTTCCCTGAGATGAGGGGTATCCGTCTCGTTCATCTTTTATGATAAATATCCTAGCTTCTCTCCTCACCCTCACACACAACGACCAAACAAAAACTCATCTCAAAAGTCATACTATCCAACACTTCTCAACACCAACCAGTTCCTTCATCACCTTAGTTCTCTCCCCCCCAAAAAATGGCATCCTCAACCTCCTCAGCAGCGGACGAACCACCCGTAGTTCCCCACTACCCTTCCCCTACCCGTCACACGACGACTCACAGCCACCGGGGCAACGCAATCTTTGCGCGGCCCTCCACGTTCCCCCCCACGCCCACCCCGTACGGCGGGGTGGGCATGGTGGTCCACGACCTGTACAAGACCTTCACGACCCCGTTCAACATGACGGACGAACGCGACATCAAAGCCATCGAGGCGCACCCCGTGCGGCCCTCGGAGGGCACCATCTGGTTCCCCGCGCCCGGCGAGGCGCTGGTCCGGTACTGCGACTGGGTGCCCAAGAGCACCCTGGCCTTTCACCGCACCGAGACGATCGACTTCGGCGTCGTCGTCAACGGCGAGATGGAGCTGACGGTCGGCGAGGGCAACAAGGACCACAAGAGGGAGACGAGGACGCTGAAGGTCGGCGACGTGGTCATCCAGCGGGGCACCATGCACGCCTGGCGCAACGCGAGCGAGACCGAGTGGGCGAGGGTGGTCTTCTTCCTGATCGGGGCCGAGCCGGTCGTGGTTGCGGGGGAGGAGAAGAAGGCCGTGTACCCGTGGGATGAAGGTGCGGAGGAGCCCGAGGAGGAGGGGAAGAAGAAGGGCGAATAGTAATTTAACGCATTGACGTTGGACGGGATTCCAATCAAGGGATGATGAGTAGGTACCTTACCTAGGTAGTCAAAGTCACTTCTTGTGCTAAGTCATAAGCTGGTGTGTTGGGAATTAGTAAGACTTTGAATCGGTACCGTAGTGTAAATCGATCAATGACACCGTTTAAATGATAACCGCCCCCGAAAAATGCTGAAGATATTAAACTTGCTGTTCTGTTTTTTTTTTTCATTGTGCCATTTTCCATGTAAGACCAAGCTCCGTATTATGTGTGCGTGTGTGTGTGTGTGGGTGTGTGTGTGGGTGGGTGTGTGTGTGGTGAATTAGATAGCGCCGGTATCTCAAATAACCAGTCACACAGGAGGACCTGGGACATTCTTGGTTTCCTCGCTTACGCCACGGCACGGCACGCTCGGCACGGCGCGGGTAACTGTTGCGGAACCGGGCTCGGATTCGGCGGGATGTGATGTCACTGACTCTAAACTCTCGATGCTGTGGTCTGACAACTCCACCGAGGACCAACGACATGCCATTCCCTTTCGCGGCCCCGGGTTCCGCAAATTGGTGGTGGTTATTTTCACAGATGGTTGCTACTAGGACCGCACCGTGGTTTGTTGGCCTTGCTCAGTTTGATAGTAAAACCATTATCGCTTACAAACGGGCAGCAGCCTTCCCGGCTGTGTGCAAGTTTTAGTCCCCTGAGGTTCAAGTTACTCTGTTGTTTTTGCGTCCAGTGTGAGCTCATCACTCTCAAAGGGTTTATTGTTTATGAATAGGTCGAGAGGCAGCCTGCGTAGATCGGCTCTCACAAACTCCCTATATCCTATCCGGCGAGATAAATAGTCCAAAGTGATAGTATAGTACCAAGTCACCCGTGTGTCCTGGCCTCTGTTTTCACTACTGGTACGCCCATATACGAGAAGCTCATGACTTAGTCCTAACCCGTGGTTTCTACAAGCAGCCCAGTGATTTCGACGCGCGTGACGTGTTGGTAAAACACGAGCTCAAAATGAGATCCATCTGAGCGGCCTCAAATCTTTAAAAATACCACAGCAATGAGCAAAATTCAGCTGTTCAAACTTTGCACACTGTTCCTCTTTTCTGGATTTTGTCAATGACAGGCCAGGCAGTAATCACCTTTTCAAAAACAGATTACAACAAAATCATCAGCTTCTTTTCGCCACCTTGCTGTATTACCTTGGGTTGAATCGAATGAACATAACCGATATCCTTCGCTATGATGGTACTATCATCGGCGCATTTTTTCTAACGCCGACCATTTCCTACCAGATAGTAATTAATATAAGACATAAGTTATTTTACTAATTAGTATCCTGGTTGTTGTTTGTTTTCCTCCATTACGAAAAACCCGTAACAAATATGTAGTTACCTACCTAATGTCTTTTTCCTTCCATCACCGGCATGTCAAATAGCTTTTTCATGTTTTTAACAATCGTAGTAATAAAAACATTTTTTTTTCTTCTTCCTTCGCTTCAACCCGTGATACTAGTAGTAATTAATCCCCCCCACCCCCCCCCCCTCTCTTCTTTCCTCCCCCCTCCTCAAATCAGCCTCGTATGAGAAAAAAAAAACCCCCCCAAAAAAAACCAAACAACTTAAACAGGCAACATGTTTGTATCCTGATCATTAAACCCCAAAAGGAAACAAGAAAATAAAAAATTTATTTCCAACGACCAACCATGAGATAAAAAACTCGGCGTAGATTGGGATGCATTGAAGCCAGCCAAAAAGCTGTTTCGTCGCGACGCGGATGGGGTCGACTACTAGGCTCAGGCAGATAGATTACTTGAATAGAATAGTGAACAAAAGTAAAAAAAAAAAAAAAACAGGGCAAGTGATTTAAATAACTTTGGTTCAGATTTTAAATAGAAATCAAGTATGTTGGTTTGATTGATGATGGGCGCATCAAAATGAGGGGGTTGTTGGGAAGGGAGGAGGGGGGGGGGGAGAGGGGGTATTCCTCTGGGAATAAGTTAAGTTTTTTTTAAGTTTTTTTTATTTTTATTTTTTATAATAAAATATTATGCCCGTTCCATTCAACTCTACGACTATATTGTTTGTAGAATCTGGCACACATTTAATTAGAATGGAAGGGGAGGGGGAAGGAGGCAGGGGGTAGAGGGGAGAGGGGAGAGGGGAGAGGGGTTAAGGAATAATAGCAGTATGTAGAATGCCTCCTCGCCCCAGCCCTCCCTCCCCCCCCCCCTCTTTTTTTTTTCCCCCAAAAAAATATAGATAAAAGATCTCTCAGAATTGGTAGGGTTTTTAAAAGTAATCAACAGAAAAAAAAAAAAAATTTGAGCTCATCGGTGGCGCAAAACCCCCCCTCAAAAATGATAAATTATAATTCTGATTGGCGGCAAAGTCACCACCAATCACAAGGAATGATTAAGTAGCCTGCCCGGCTAGCTCAATCGGTAGAGCGTGAGACTCTTAAAAAAATGGGATTCTCCGATTTCATCTCAAGGTTGTGGGTTCGACCCCCACGTCGGGCTCAATTCCCGTCTGATTTCCTTTCATCAGAATTTTTTTTTTTTCCCTCTTTCTGGCTCTTTCGAATTCTTCTCTCCCTCTTTACTTACTCTTTTTAGGAATAGCATACAGATACCCCATTTGACTAGACCTTTCTTTTTTATTAATAATATCGAACATGGCAGGAAGTGCAGATGCTCCAAACGTTATGTTACTGCTCTTTCTCCAGAGCGTATGATGGCTCAGGTTTTGCTAACCTAGAGTTGATCATGCAGAGCCAAATGAAATTTGATTACCATGCTCCAAAGCCCCCAACTCGCCACCTTCAACTGTTGGAGGGACCGCATTGTAAAGAAGCAGATGGGTGTGGGCTTGAACATGTCTTGATATGTGGGACTCACCACGACAATTCACCCAATGAACCCTTATTACCCAGTTTGTTCCAACAGCGAAATCCCCCCCCTGCTCAACGTCACTCTCGACGAAGCTACTACCTAGAGCTTATCGTCGCCCCGAAATGCCCGCTCCTCAAATCACCTCACCCCAGTAAAGGCACTCGAAATGTCGGGAAAGGTTGAGAGCTCATGTCTGCAGCTTGAGGCCTCCTCCAATGGGTTACTTGTCTTACCAATCAACAAGATCTTGTATGTGCAGATCGTATTCAGGCCGTTCCAAAGCCATCGTTTCGTCATAATCCATCAATTCTGTGCTAGCGGGCTGTCGCTGGCATGTGCATGCTGGAAGAGTGGTTCCTTTCTGGATTGAAGGGCTCTCATCGTTTTGAAATAGGACCCGATGGGTAACAAAGGAGCCATTTATTATACAAGGTACATCCTTATTAATAATCCTGCCATGAATCCGGCGCAAGGGGGAACTGCATCATGGGTGCCCGGTGGCTCGGCGGGCCGGAGTTTTCAGAGGGTCATGTCACAGGTGTGCGTGTCACTCATCTTGCAGTTGTAATTCAAGATTCGGGTCGCTCGCCGCTGGGTTGTAGCAGAAAAGTTTCGCAGCCGCCAGCAGATGTCGATTCTCCGTTGTCTGTGGCGAACAGTGGGGTGATTTCTTGGTCAACATGTGACATTTTGGGCCCCGTTTTCCTGGAACATGTCAAAGCTGCTGCCTGTTGCCGTCCGGAACGGAACTTGCCAGGATTTTTAGAAAACATCTACGTGGCTCGTCACATTCGTGGCGAACTTGATGGGTCTGATTGGGCTGTGGCGGTAAGTATACACTTCTGCTAATGTTCGCCGCCAGCCGACATCCTTCTCATCCGACGCTTCGGAGCAAGCCCGGTGTCTGCATGAAAAAGAAGAGAGCCCACCGTAAAGGTCCAGAAAGACGGTCTAGAACCTTCTCTTGGCTACCAAATCTTGCAGAGTCGGTGTTGCGCGGCTCGGCATCGCTGTGCCCATGCGGGAATGGAAAGAACCGGGGGACACCCCGACACTCGAGGCTGAAGTATACACTAGCAGACTGGCTGGCTTCGGTGATGCAAGGGCCAGTCGGGCTCGCTTTCGGATCAAAGAAGGCTTCTTGGCCCATCCGGAAGTGGTTAAGAATTTGCCATAAAACGCCAAAAGACAGCTTGGGAATTGATGCATGTGGGTTACTGCAGTGCAACCGTCAGTGTATACTACAATCGCTTCCCCGAGGGGAGCAAGGTGGCTAGCTGGCATCCATTGGTTTTCAGGGTGCTCGTTATTATCCTAACCATTATTAGCTCATCACGCTGCCTAAGAGGGACGTACATATATACTAATGAGCCAGTCGGAAATCGGGGTCGCCGGGAAGCAGGCTTCTGATGGCGTTTGTGAAAAGCTGGCTGACAGATTAGGACGGACCAATACGGGCCGGACTTGCTTGCAATTGACTTGGGCAAGACACTGTCCTTCCACCACGCCGAAACGAAAGATGGATTCCCAACAACAACGGACGAGCCACCTTCAACCCAACCAAACGGGCCTTCTCCACCGTAGGGACCCGCGGCGCTGGGTTCGGCCAAAGCACTTGCCCGAGTGATGAAATGGCCGAACGGGTTTGAGGCGGTGCCACTGTTTCCGCGAGGAGGGGCGGACGTGGAGAGAGCCTGCCGCTTTTTCTCGGGAAGGCTTGCTGATCGGTAGCATATTGGTTTTGTTGTCTTAGCGTCGTGTTGCCTTGCTGCTTCGGGGGCGAATGGGTTCGCTTTCGACACCTGGGATAGACAACCAGAGAAGTCGCAAAAGAAGCTTGCCAACGTCTCAGCCCCTTTGGGCGGCGGGGTAGTGATTAGCTGGCGTGGGTAAGGGCGGGGAAGCTTGGGGAAGCTTGGGAATACAGTGTACGTATATTGTTTGGCCATCCCCAAAGGAGCAGCTCCAGGGTCCTCCTGCCAGGGGTCGTGGGGCGAGCCATATGCCGTGTAACGTGGGCGGGATGGATTTCTCGTCAGTTCAATGGGCATTTGGCGATCCAACAAGTTTCCCATTGACGAGGGGGCAAAGGTAAAGGGAAGAATGCGGTGGTGCAAGATTGAAGTCGGTCGGCCGGTGTGTAGAAGATTCGACCCGAGCCTCCCCTCCATCTGCTCTCGGAAGCAACGCCGTTGCCAATGATGATACCCGAATCCGACCGGCACTTGGTGCGATCGACGGCCCGCAGTGGCCACAGGTGCACCCCCGTTACACCACCTCAGGGCTTATCCAAGTTAGTCTGGCACGATCCACTGTTAGACTTTTTCTAGAAGCTGTGCGCTGCCACAAACAAGTTATCAGCCAATGCTAATATTTGTACCGCTGAGCAGGTGTACATCCTGTGCAAGCGAACGCGACAGAAGCCACAGGCCCACGAACAGCGGAAAGTAACAGTGCAAGTAAGAAGAACAGTCTAGAATGCTCTGAACTTTAAAAGGTCCTCTTTCTGAGCACGCTGTGGACCAACAACCAGGAAAACACACCCCCCCTTCCAAAAAAAAAAAAAGAGAGAGAGAGAGAGATAGAGATACAGAAACAACACATGCCTCAATACTCAGCAATTTTTAATAACACACTATAAATCCGAAAACGCGTGCCGCGGTACTGTAATGGATACGGTGATACGATGGAGATTTAAATAAGGAGAAAAAAGAAAAAAAAAATGAAGCCTCTCAATTTGCGTCGTGACCTTGGGCGCATGGGGGTTTTCGAGGATCTGCGGGTAGGAACCCAGCTTTGTGGTCCCGGTTTTTTTTTTTTTTGGAGTTTTTTAGTTTAGTTTTTTTTTTTTTTTGCCCACAGAGCGCCGGGGTCACTCAGCAATAAGGTAAGAGGCGCATGGCAGACGAGCCTATCAGCGCGCTCACGGAGCATTTGCTCCGGTTGACAAGCTTCAAGGCACCACATTTCCACTGCGTGCGGTGCAAAAAGAAGACTCAAAAGGGAATTAGAAAAAGAGACTGGGAATTGCGGATGCATCAGGCGTAATGTATTCCGCTTTTCCAGGGCCACGAAATGGCCTGCTTCTTGCCGTTTTGGAATCGGGCAAGCGATCTTCACTCTTCCAGGACCTTGTCCATGTGCCACTGCCATGTGCTGTTTCTTTTGCCACATCGCACCCGCCAGTGTCCTAAGTGGTCGACCAGCGAGCCAAAATCGCATCCCGCTGTCTGCAGCAGCCATTTTGCCCAGCGTGCACGCCCGCAACACAGCAGGCCCCGCGCCCAAACAATAGAAAACGCAAAAGGACAAGCCACTAAAAGCCGAGATTACCACGGGTTTTCCCCCGGGGTTTCCGACGTGTCTCCTACAGGGCCCGGGACAGCCACACCCCGTTCGCCTCGACTCGGCCAGGAGGAGTCCCTCAGTATATCATCAGCCACACACCACACCACGGTGGACAAAAAGAAAAACACGCAACCGCTGCCGCCTCTTGTGCACCGGCAGCAGCTCATGTCGCTCAGCAGCAAGCGCGGATGCCTTATTTCCTTTATCGACGACACTGATCCTACACAGAATCTTCATCATCGCCCTGCAAGACCGAAGCCTCCCTTCCCGCCAGTTATACACGGACCCCTGACCAACTGCCGTTAATGTGCGTTGAGCACACCACAAATGACTGCCCAGCTTGCGGGAAAGACTACCTCGTGTTCGTCGAGTTCTGCCGGGACTTCCATCCCCCGCTGTTGCGCTGTCCCAACGGCACCGCCGTGAACAGGCTTGACATGCTCGACGGCGGGTGTCCGAGTCCCGTATGTCCAAACAGTCGAAACGGGGGCTGCTGTGTGATGTAGCAGCATCAAAACGGGTCGAGGAAACGATGTAGTGCACGCAACACCAGAGACAAAAAAATAACACTCCCGAAAAATACGCGCGCGAACCGGAGCCATGCCCAGAAACTCAGAGCTTCAGTCCGTTGGGGCCAACTTCGACGACCTGATCGAGGCCATCATACTCGGGAACATCAAAGTCATATTTTTTTGCGATTGCCGGCGCGACAAACCTAGATGGGGCTGGTCAGTGGGCCTCGCCAAACGGGTAAGTCCCCTCGAACCACTGCCTAGAACGTACCGCCCTCCGATGAAGTGGCGCCCCCTGAAGTGCTTGACGAGAGGTTTGGGTGCTGTCAAGCTGATCAGGACATCAGGGTGGAAATTGCTGCCCACGCCCTCGCTGGGCGGACCGGCCTCGATGCTCCAAGACGACGGAGCATCAATCGCCGTCACCGGAATCTCGGTCTCTGCCATGGCATCTATGACAGCGGGGAACGGCTCGCGGACTTGGCCAGAAAAACTGAAGCCTGAATTAGGGTTAATCAAGCGGCGTCGACGAGCTGGAAAGCACCCGGGCATACGAACCAAAGATGGCGTCAACAACATGGTCTGCTGTTTTGAGGGCGGTGGGAAAGTCGTCGACGAACGGGACATCGAGGTCCTCCAATTGTTTAACCAGACGCTACGTATAAGAGTAAGCAACAGGTGGCGGGAGCCGACCAGCAGGGCTGGGAAGCAAGTTTTCTGTTCCGAGCAGGCTCAGTGTAATATATAGGCTCTGACCTGCGCGAGGTC